TTCAGCTGGTATTGGTTCAGGTTATAATGCAAGGTACTGGAGAAGTCTGAGTAGATAAACATCAGTTTTAGCATTAAACCTTTTTTGAAACATTCAAGGATTATGAACAGGCTCTTATATTGAATACATACATATATTGTATTTAAACCTGAAAGGGGATATCTATATCATGTTTCAGTTCTAAATCCAATATATATACAATAAGAAGACAAACATCTAAGGTCTGCTAAGCATCCAAGACTGGCATTTTTTTGAGTACAGTGCTATCACTAGTTAATAAATCTGCTTATAATAGTAGAAAAAAGTAAAATATTTCCCCAAATGCATAAAAACAATACCCTAAGATTCTCTGCAAGTGTGTACAAAAAGAACTGCCACTTTTGGCACTTAAAATGGAAACCCCAAAATGAAAATATGAGTATTTCCTGGAGGTATGCTGCAAAGCTGTCTAGGGCAAGAAAAGTGTGATGACTGACTTTCCAGTGCCTACACACCTGATTTCTACCAACTCGGGAGCTTGTGTGTGTTCCTGGAGAGTCCTAAACAACTTTTTCTCCCAATTATAAATGACTACTCACAGCAGAAACAATGTCAAATAATAGTGCTGCTCTCTAGGGAAGTCCTAACTGACTAGACCTCTAATATCCTGAGGAGGCATTTTTTGTGTTAAGAGAACCAAATTTGATGTCTTCTCCATGGCAGCTCATATTACAAAGAGCAAATTAGCACCAGTTGTAGTAAAGCTTATGTGCTCTTCTAGTACCACAACTAAAGAGGAATAGAGAACTTTTTGCATAGAAGGACATAAAGATAGCACCAACATATGATCAAGACAGACGAGCTTTAGTTTCTACTAGCTATAAACATACCATCTCCAATATGTAATATTATTGCTATTATGCATTATTTTACTTAATACTGGGGTAATGCTCATTAAAATTTTTTGCCAGGTGTCTACATGTGCAGGGATTTGGCACTGAAGTTAGTGCACTGGGCACTAAAGTTAGTGCCAAGTCCCTGCCATGTGCCCCTAGTGGCTGGGCAGACCCAGTGTTGAAGTTAGTGTTGGTCGCATCTGCATGTGTGTTAATGTGCTTTAACTAATCATGCCTAAATTTGATACCTGCATTTGCAGGTATCAAATTTGGGTGCAGTTAGACTAATTTCAGCATTTTAAATGTGCATTAAAGGCACACACATGTAGATGTGTGCCCTTAATGTGCATTAAATTAGGCTAATGCTCATTAATGTGTCTCATGTAGATGTGCACACTGTTCCCTGAGGTTTTTTTTATTGTGTTTAATTAAAGGCCTGATTCTGTCATTTGAAGGAGAACAGGACAGAGTTCTAAATGAGGTTTACTACATCACAATACAAAGACTCCCCCCTGATTCAAGGTGGGAGGGTTTTGGCAGAACAAATAGGCTTCTGACCAAGCAGATGAACAAAATAGATTTAAAAAAAAAAAAAAAAAAAAAAAGGATGATGCCAGGGCCTTCAAAGATCCTTATGGGAACTTTTGAGGAGTAGGATGAGGTAATGCCTTCCACATCAACCAGTGATGTTTTTACTTCATCATTCTGACTTCATGTCCCCATCTGTTGCCTCTGAAAATATAGAAATCAGCCAGGCAGGAGATGTAACCTTTGGGTTACATCTCCTTTACATTTCACAATTACCAGTAATACTCAGTCAACTCCTAAATAATCATCACCATATTAAATTGTAGAGGAACATAGGGCCTGACCCAAAGCCTAATGGAAAGATTTTCAATGACCTCTGGGATTAAACCCTGAACATCCTCAATCCTTACATCCTGTTATAACACCCCCTAAAGTTTAACTGCTGTATAAGTGATAGAGCTGACTTCACTATGAAGAAGAACAATACAGGAGATGGAAGACGAATCATAAAGACAAAATTTAGCTGCCCAAGACACTGGTTTCCTATCTAGGAAGGAAAGTTGCCTCCTAAGGAAAGGAAACTATTCTCTGAATAATCCTTAACTAAAATGGACTGACCAAAAATGTATCTTCCTGGTTAGATTCCTGTATGATTTATGCTGATATAAATCAAGAATAACTGATGGGACTTATGGTACATGGATACTACAGTGACAGAGGTCCTACTTGTTTTGTGTCAGGAAGATAAAGCTTTGATCAATGAGCTCAGAGTCATGACCTCTCTGTCAATGCAATAGTGGTAATAAAGTTGCTGCATTTTTGAAAATGGAATTAGTTATTAGCACTGCTGTTTGGAAGGCTGTTACTCTGTACACCACTACACTAGTCTTGTTAAAAATTTCTCCCGATGAGAATGAAATGGAATCAAGAAAATAATCCTGTTCTCATCTCAACAACTGATTCAAACATAGACATTAATAAAGGGATGTGAATATTAAAAGACAGGATCACTCACGTGCCTAAGTCTAAGACCAATGCCTCATTTCACATGGACCTAAGTTTTTATTAGTAAAGCTTCCAAGCACCAAAAGTTGTGCTACTACACAGAGAGGGGTGTGACCTCATTTTTGGCAGAACTGAATGTGTTCCTGCCATTCTCATACCTAGGTAGTCTTGGAATTCACAAATGAATATTCCTGTGCCTAAGTCACCTGGCAGTTGTGCCATGGACATGGCTAATACACACTGGGCATGTCTACACATACATTTATGTGGTCTTAAATTTACTACACAGTAAGTTACTGCACAGTAAGTGGGAACAGGCCAGCGTCTACACATGCAAGCATTAAAGCACATTAATGCTACGTGTGGACTGACTTGGGAGTAAGGTTAGCGTCAAGTCAGTCCACACACACAGTGTTACTGAATGTGTCTTACTTTGCTGCAACTAATCAGGCATAAATGTTATACCTGCATGATGCAGGTATCAAATTTATATTCAAGCTGGCATAAGTCACCATACTTACTGTGCAATATGGGCATGCACATGTAGACATGTGCCTGTACTGCACAGTAATTTCCGTGTAGATGTGCCCACTGACAGCATTTACTTCAGCACAAAACACAGCAGCCACAGTCACTTTTCTTCAAAAATGGCCCAGCTGCATTATATATAAAAGCCTAGGTGTTAAACAGCCAACTTGGAAGTAGGTAATTTGAGTTAATTTCCCTCCTTATGCTGATAGAGTCAAAACACACATCTCACACCTCCAGGGAGAGTGCCCAAACCACCAGGCTGGAGGCAAGGTGCAGTGGAAGCAAAGGCCTCTCCACCCCTTCTGCTGAAGCTGTGCCACTGTGAAGCCAAGAATTCAAGATACATATGGACAGAGGAAGAGCAAAGAAGAGGGAGTATAACCTCAGAAAGTTTGACTTAGATTCTAGCTCTGAATACACTGCATGAATTTTAGCGAATGCTTTTTAATGCAAAATGGATATGCACTTAGGGCTTCTATGCATGTGCAGGGCAGTTTCTCCAATGCACTATGTATTGGAGCAGATTTGATTAATCAAGTCTGATGGAGCGTAGTAATTACCACACTCCAGCAGACTCTAGTGTCATGTTTATCAGTATCCTCGTGCTGAAAAATGACAGCACAGTGCTTTAAACGGAAGCTTGTTTGACGAACTTTAGTTCAAAGCACCCCACAGCCATTTTTCAGTGCTGTGACGCTGATACATGTGATGCTCTGGGCACTTTAATTAGCATGGCTTTCGGAGCTGCACTAATTAAAGTGCCTGCCCTACCCCATCTCCTGGACCATGTCTATAAATGCACTTAGGGCTCAGACAGAGTGGCAATTTCTGTCCAGTCTGGACACAGAAAGCAGTTTATAGCCATGATGAAATACAAGTACACAACTGCAGACAGCTTAAAAAATGGCTGATTGGGTGAAAATCTGGCTGCTTGTTGCATGAGGTGTCAGATGAAGAGTTTTCAAATACAGTGTCTTCTGTAACTTTTGTCTATGCCACCCGCCATCCTCAAGCTGTTTTCACAATGGGAGGGGGGAAACAAATGCAGGGAGTTTGGTCTGGGGGTTTTCAGCCCCTGCTGGAGGGTGGAACAGGTGTATTGGAGCCCCCCCAACACAGGGGGGGGCTGCCATTTACCCACCCCACGCTCCAGCACTGGCTGGGGAACCCCTAGAATGAGCTTCCTCTGCTCCCTTTCCTCCCTCCCATTCTGAAACTGGGACAGGATGGCCATTGCTAGGGGAAACTGACTGCAGGGTCCCAGCGCGCAGTTAGATTCCCCTCCCCCCTGCAACTAACTATGAACGTCTGTTTTGTCTGGAGGATCGTTGTAACTCAGAATGCTTCCTGCAAAGTGTTCTCAGTTACAGCTAGGAGCTGAACTTCTGTCTGTACCCTTAAGCACTCACTATCCCCTTGAGAGTCAATTTGTAAGCTGCAACCTTCTCTATTGGGTAGTTTAGACAACTTCTCACTTGGTGTGCTGAGTTTTGTGAATTCTTTCCTTATTTGTCCTACTCTCTCAATTATTGTATTAGGAGCCTAGGCACCTCAACTTTGAGTTGTGAATTTTACAAAGTGGCAAGAATCCCCGAAAATGAACACTAAAACGCTGAGCCTAAATCCCATTTGTGAATAGAGATGTCTACAATTTTTTTAACCATATTACTGAAGTTCAAATCACAAATACATCTAGCAATGCTTACGTAGAATTATTTCATCCAGAACTTTCTTAAACACTTACCTGAGAAATTCATAGACTAATTTTCTTGTTTAAAGCAGCAAATTTAAAATGCAGCAAAAATGTTTCTAAAGACACAATACTGGCAAGTGTAGTATAAAGTTAATTATATAGTTCAGGTGAAATTTCAACTGTCACCTACTTTCAAGGAATCCTGATATATCAATGTTTTTTAAACAGCTGACACTATAGTCACACAGTCATAATAGTTTAAAAATATAAGTGGGTACATCATATCCTGGGTAAAGTTAATTTTGATATTTGTGGTAATAATAACATACAAATTCAATATTAAATGCAATATTTGCTACATTAAGTAAGGTTTTCCACTGTTGTCCTAACATTTCCACATTGTCTATGGGAAAAATTAGTGACAAGAAATAGCCTGTAAGAGGCTTTTCTAAATTAGTTTAAAAGGCTAAGTAACATGTAATGGATTGACAAGAGCACATACATGCTGAAAATACACAGCAGGCCATTTATCTCAGGACCACCCTAATTTTAAAGGACATATTTTGAAAACATTATTGGCTGAAGTTTAAAAATAATCCTGCATCCTTTTCAAACTTTCTTACAACATATTATTACATACTTTCTGTACAACGGAAAGTATTTCAAAATAATCTTACAGTATTTGTGCTATAAATATCTCCTTTAAAATTGACTGTAGATACATATTATCTGTAATGACTTAAGTGTAGTAATTCTTGTTTCATCATGTAAAAACATATACATTAATTACAATGTTCTAACACCTGCAGAAACCCAAGTACAAAAGTTGCTCATTGATCAATTCCAGTTAAGTATTTACAACCTTGCTGCCCTGGCTATTTTACAAATAATCCTCCGTCCATTTAGGTCATTTGTTTTTATGTAGTAAATTCCCAAACTTTTGCATAAATCCTCGGAGCTTGTTTTCATTAGGCTGTAATGGATGGTATGCAGTTGAGTTGTAATTAACCATCTGATTACCCCTGGCATGGTTGTTCTCTAAGGGTTTGTTTTTCATTTCTGAGGGATATGAACTGCTATTTGTTGTGTTTTCTGAAAGTTGACCAGATCGTTCCACTTTACAGAATTGCTCATAGCGACTATAAACACGTCTGTCATTCAAATGAGATCTTAATAACTCCTCTTTCTGTTTTGCAATTGTAAGCTGAGGCATCACTGTATTTACTCTTTGTGAAGGGGTTGAAATAGGTGCAGTTTCATGGGTAGCATTTGTTATCATTTCTTTCACATCTTGGTACTGGATCTGCTCAGTATTAAATCTAGGAGCAGATGCATCTCCTGCAGTTTCTATGAACTTATTTTCTTTGGGGCACAGAGGAGGACACTTTTTATTGCTTTCATCAGGTAGAGGTGTTGGTGACTTTCGTGACTTTGGAGACTTTGAAAGGTTTGCAGTAACATCTTCTTTACTTTTATGCAAGCTTCCTTGTGAATTTGAAGATGTAATCCTTTTTCTTCTTGGGAAAGTATCAGTTTTAGTCTCAGACATTTTTGGCTTTTGATTCTCTTCACCTTCAGAAGTCAGAGTATCAGAACTGCTACACATTCTGTAAAAAGCGGGAGCTTTGTTTTTTGACAAATTTTCTTTCTTGTCTGGTGTGAGATTGAGAAATGATTTCAGTTTCTGGGATCCCTTTTTCAGGAAACTCGGGGAATTTTTATTTTCTTTCTTTGAAGTGCAATCTTTGCTAGGCTCCTCTTTGCTAGCTTCAGCAAGAGCAGCCATAGAAATTGCCTTGGCAGTAGTGGGGCTCTTTGATTCTCCTTTGATGTTTTTATCTTCAGGTGGTACATGGTTGGTCACATTGTGTAAGCTTTTGGAACTTTTAAGTGTGTCCTCGGGAGGCTTCATATTGACTGGCTGTTTAATTCTATGCCTAGTCAGTGTGCTATATACATAGCTACATTCCTGTTTTTTGACACCTGGATCCAGCGTGAATTTTGAGTTGTCAAACATAGGGAAACTTCGCCTTTTTAATATATTTTCATTTTGTTGGTTCTTCATGTTTTCAGCTTGTTTATCTGCATACAGGGTTGTGTACAAGAATGCTGATGAGTTCTTACTAATATTTGGGTTTAAACTAGGTTTTTGGTCTTCTACAGTCTGCATTCCATGGCTTTTTGCTGCATCTGGTTGAGGTGGGACTTCTGTGCTGAGTTTTGGTGAGCTTTTGTCAATCACATTTTTCAGACTTGGGGCATGGTTGGATACTGCTTTAGGTGTTTCACTTCCCTCTGAATCAATTATAGTTGAATTTGAAGAACTTGCACAGCTGCTTACTTCCTGCTGTTCTGGCAAAGTTGGCTTAAATACCAATGATGACCTCAGACGAGAGTGAGAATAAAGGGCATGAGCTTTAATATTTTCAGCTGCATCATAACCATTATACCGGTCTCCCACTGCTGATCCATTAGAAGCTGCTGAGTAATCTAATTGATCATTTAAGTATGACTCGATTCGCCAGTTACGTAGAAAAGACTTTGTAGTGTGTTCAAGGGTAGGCATTCTCTGTTGCAAATGGCGGATCTGATGATCTGTTCCATTGAAAGATCTCCGTATGATTGAATTTCTTTCTACAAGATTAATCTTTGGTCGGGCAAAATGGTCAGCAAAACTTTGTTGAGGTGCATTGTGGCTATTTGTATAGCCTTCTCGTAATGAAGACACTATACTAAGGTTATCAGGTGGCATATTCCAAGTATTTGGTGGATTATTAACCCAATTCATTGCTCTGTTGAGCAGAAAATAAGGAGTCCTTTCTGGTTTCTCTCCAGCATAACTATGTCTCTTCCAGTGCTCAATTCTTTCAGTGGGTTGACACTGGTTGATTTGATTTTGCATATTCATACCTGAATGAAAGGGTAGCTTATTGTAGGTTTTATTTCTCAAACCATATTTATCTATTTCATTAACTGCATATCTTCCTCGAGTTTTCAAGTAAATTGGGTCTAAATTGTGAATTTTGTCTTGTCTACCAAATGGGTTTCTCTGGCTAGAAACTGAAGCTAAAGATGACAGTGAATGCTGGTATGTGTCATTCTTCCAGAGTATCCTGCGACTGTTTATCCTAATTAATTCTGGTGTGAATGAACTAGGAACAGATGATCGAGCATAGAGTGTCCTAAACTCTTCATCAAAAGATTCAACGAGCTGTCCTGTGATAACTTGAACCATGCTGAGGTTGGTTTTTTCAAATGACCACATAAAGCTGAAAGCATAAAAAATGACAATTAGCAATAATGGAAAACTTTGGCCAAGTGGATCTTACCACCTCATCAAAAAAACACCTGTCTGATTTTTCAAAAACAAGTCTGAAACATGCAAATAACTGTCCACAAATTAATTGTGGACATTTACCAAGGCTTTTGAATAGTGGAAGTCCTGTTCTGTTTGAATTTATTAGGAGATTTGCTTGATTTTAGTGGGAAATGCATACAGCTTATACCTACTCATTTATACTTACAAACACTATGCACTAAAAAAAAAGTATCCATCCATAAATCTGTTAAACTATGGGCACATTTATGTGTGTGTACAAAATTATCCATGACAAAAGCCAGAGTCCATATTTGGAAATTAGCTCCATGTATTTATCTTTGAGAAAGAAATGTAATTTGAGTTTACTCTGAAAAAAGTAAATTAGGAATATATACAGAAGTGCTTACACAGTTCTGAATAAACTAAATAAATTATTTTTTTTATATATACAAAGAGAAAACATTCACTGAGCTACATAGGCTCATTTTTGTTGTTATGATAACAAGTCTTATGGCATAATGACATTAATAAACACAATGTTCTACAGATTAAATTTGTAACAAACAAATTCTTATTTTATGATTCCATGCTGGGTTTTGCTTTTGCCAAAACAATGCAAGAAAACTGAAACCAACATCATAAAGAATTAGGACTTGTATAATTGTATTTGTTCATCAGTGAAAAGGATTGTTGCGTAACTTAAATATTTTATTATTTAAATCAGTTACTTTTATATATGCCAGGAAGAAATTAGAAAAAGAAAATATGTTTAGATTTAAAATAAAATTACAATAAAGCACTATTTAAAACTACTGCTTTTTGAAACATTAAATAATATATTTACTTTAAATTGAGTTTACAGTGCAGAAATTGGAAAAAGGGTAATCAGCTGTTGTAAAAGATATTTTTTTCTTTTTTAAAAAAAAAAAGATAATTTCTGAAGGATTTGATGATGGGGCCTCCTACATGGCAGATCAAAAGAAGTACTATCTTCCAAAATGCTTGAAAATTACTTTCTCTTAGAGAAAGTTGCATTCTCACACTGCATACAGCCACTTGCCACTCCTGGGAACAGCACGGGGGCACTGGTGTAAGAAACTTGGGTAGGGGGGTGGCCAGAATGGGGAGGGGGGGCAGTGATTCCACAGTGGGGTTGGGTGTTGCCTGGTCTGGGGAAGGTTGGGGAGCTAAAAAGAACCCAGTCAGGGTCAGGTGGTGGGAATAATGCAGCTTTAGGCCTGGGGTGAGTTGCTGGGATTCCCAGCCCCAGGATTGTGTTGTGAATATATACAAACAGGCATTCATGAGATCAGGTTAACCCTTTCCTACACTGAATTAACCAGATTTGAATTTAAGTTAGTACACCTATTGTGGTAAATTAACTTAAATCATGTACACCATTTCATAGGTGTTTTAAAACCTCTGAGCATCTGCACTATCTGGCATTTAGATTGACCTAACCCTAATTGGATTGATCTAAATGTAACACCTGTGCATACCCGCAGACTCAAACTTACATTATTAGTTGGAGATATCAAACTAGTCAGAAACCCTGTGACCTGGATTACACTGACTCACTTAAGAACTTATAATTTACCTTAGCACTCTTTATACATCTTTTCCACACTTGTCTAAGTATTAACGGACACAAATTACCTTCAAATAGTGTACATCAGAGGAACTCTATTGATATATAGTAGCATTTCCCAAACTTTTGATACCTGAGTCATATACTCTTTTTCCGGATTAAAATGGATGGTACACTTCATTCACCAATTTGCAGGTTGGATAAGGTCGGTAGGCCCCATGCCACCACGCAGACCGTCTGCCCCCATCCCATTCATTTTTTCATGGTACACTCCTGCCACTTTCATGACACATTAGTGTGCCATGGCACATCTTTTGGGAATGACTGGTATTGGGAATTCAAAAAAACCAAAGGAAGGAAGATAGCAAGAAAGGTAAGTAAAATATCTAGTAATGTGTTAGACAAATTTAGCCATCCCTAAGTTAATTTACCACATTTTTACGGTTGTTCAGTATAAATTGTGTCAGTTGACATGCTCTTAAGTGTGTTTATATGTTAGTAAGTAGCTGCAGGGAGATTGAAGGGAATCTGTGTGTGAGAGACCCTACCTGACTTATATGGCATGTCTAATACTAGACTACGGTTAGGTTGACAATATGGAAATCCTGGAAATTCAGGACATCATCTTGGAAATCCAGGGCACTGGCCTCCTCCCCACCATGCTCTCACAAGTTAGCAGGGGTGAGGCTGCATGCCAGGCAGGCAGGGGTGCCTACCTGTCCACCTGCAAGACACTCTACACCTCTCCACCTCAGGCCAGACTGTGCCCCATGTCCCTACATTTCCAAGATGTCCATCATAATTCTCAACAGCCAGCTGGGACCAACTTCTGAAATCTGGGATTGTCCCAGCTAAACCAGGACATATGGTCATCCTAACTACATTGTATAACACCAAATGTCAAAGAACATTTTAGCAAAACAAGTTATTGAAGGACTATTAGAAATAGAAGTTTAACAAGAAGGCTTACAAAATACACTTCGGCAATCTTCTTGAATTCACAGAACAATAGGAATAATTCAAAAAGTTTAGTACAAGTATTAAATTTTTACTGAGTTCTTTCAACTGAAAGAAAACTGAGTCTGCTAGATTCCCTATTCATAACCTCATATAAAATCATATAAATTATTCAAAAAGCCCCCGTGCGTTCTGTACTTAATAATGCATGATGTAGATGACATTAAGCATTACAATATGATGAAAAAAATATAAAAAACAAACAAATTACTTATAATGAAGGGATTAATTCATATTGCCTTGATTTTATGGAAATATATTCTAATGATAGCTCTGATCTTACCTGTAAGTACCATACATGACTTTTTTACAGTCAATTAGAAGAAATTTCTGTTCCATCTTTCCATGGAATTTTGCTCCTGATTTGGAATAATAATCTTGTCCCTTTACTGTTCGTACCCTCATGTTCTGAAAACGATTACAGAAGACTTTTAATGTCTACATATAACAGTCTACATTTAATATTTTATGTATCAATACTTAGGGGAAACAGGGAGAAGGGATTATTACTGCTACCTGTAGCCAAACTCCCACCTTGGAGCCAATTCCAGACTTGAACACTGAATACTGTTCCTTTGTGTCTCTGTGGAAGACTTTTGAGATTTCCTAAACCACAAATAATGCAAGTTTCCTATTTGGACTGTGCATAAATCCCCACTGCAAGAGCAGTCTATGACACATGAGACCTTGGCTGGTAGAAATAGAGAGAATTTCACTAAATGGCACTTAGTGAAATGGCACTCACCTGCACAACTGCTGTTTGGGGCAGGTATGCACTGCTACAGGTGCACGTTCAAACTTTCAGGGGCTGGTGGGGAGGAAGGAGCCTAGAACCTGGTTTTTCATTTTCTGGGGAACTGTCCTAATCACTGAGTTACTGGGCTAAAACCATTAGGCTATTGGGCCCTGTAACAGGGGACCCCTACTCCTGTTACTGAAAGCAAGAGGGCAGGGCAGGTTAGGGAGAGCAGAGCCAGTGGAGCTTGCAGAAACCCAGGATGCAAGGGATAGCAGGTGCAGGCAGTATGGGCTACAGGGCTAGTGGAATTCTGGGATGCTGATTAGGAGGTAACTTCACCTGGGAGCTGTTACCAGAGAGCTGGGTCACATGATCAGATCAGAGGGAAGAAAGAGGCCATATAAGCCTGAGCCCGTGGCTAGAGGTTCAGACTGGTTTGGATCTTCAGAAGTGCTGTTGGTAGGTCCAATGATCCATGGTTTTGTGTTATGTACTGGATTACCATTGGCTTTTTGCTTACCAGAGGCTTCAGTTGTAGCTACAGGGGTGGTTTGGAGGCCACAGAGAATACCTGAAAATCATCTAGTGCTTTAAGCACTGCAAGGAGCAAGGAAAGGGAGGGAGTAACTCTGCAAGGGTTAGAGGCCTGGGGTTAGGGTAAGCTGACCTAAAGAGAACTAGGGGCCCATTAACTGAAATCAGAGTAATGCATATGAGACATGGATATAGCTATGGGGTGACTGGAGGCCACAAGTAAAGACCTTAAGGCACAGTGAGGGTCAGGAAGGCCAGTAGGACCAAGACTCAGCACAAAAGAGAATGTACTAGAAGGGCCAGAGGCTGAGATGCCATGTTTGGGAGCAGAGATGCCCGAGAGGCTGTGTTTGGGGACAGAGAAGCCCTAGGTACTTTGCCAAGAAGGAAGGTACCAAGGAAAAAGCTGCTCTGGCATCTAGAGGCAGTCTCTGCAGGTAAACACATTAACATCAAAGTGTGGCAGGGGGTCTGGAGAGTGCAGTATTATCAGTGGGGCTGTTAGGGGTGCCACAACCACCTTGGAAGCTAGGTCCTGTTACAGCACCATCTTCTGCTTCTCCTCCTCCATTCATGGATTGTTAACCTCCTAAAAATTTGGACTAAAAAAGACAGTTACATGGCTATAGAAATACAACTTGGGAACATAAAGCAAAATAGGATTCTACCCAGAGTTTGCAAACAAGTATAGCTTTTTTTTTTGGTTTCTATTACTTTTTTTCTCAATAATTTAGTTTAGCTATGATAGTTGAGTGATTTTGTATCTGGCATTAGATAAGTGACTAGTACTTGGACAGGAGGCTTAATAGTCAGTGAATATTAGATTAGAGAAGTCAAAAATCACCAGGAAGATTTTACTTGGTCCAATTGTCATGGTTGAGCTGAGAGATGGAAATTAAGAAAAACACACAAGTAGTCATAATTTCAAATACAATTTTCATCAGTGCATTAAAAAACCCAAACATTAAATTTAAGGTAAAAAAGCAATATTTTAAAATCACCATTTGCTACCCAATCTGTTCTCTTTATTCTTGGTCTTCTTCTCTACTCTTTTGCTCTTTCTCCACCACTTTCATGCCTTTTCTCCTTTCCTATCCAAACATCACAATTCCTTATTTGACCACTTCCTTATTTAAAGAAAAAGAAGATGAAGATAAAGATAAGCTAAGAATTACTTAGTGAGGGGCATTTCCTATGGAACACTTATTTTTTTCTAATGTTCACTTCTGTTTTTTCTGGATGGTGTTATATTTGTGGTACAACTAAAATGTGAATTGTACCATAAATTACAATATGCCAGATGTTCACTGAATTTATGGTGTTATGAAATGGCAAAAAACCAGAAAGATGTTCTGCATTTAATGCAGAATATCTTTGTGGATTGTTTGTCATGCTTTAATTTAAATGTATCACCAACAGCACTGGGCTGCCTGGTATGGCTTTAGATGTCCCTCCATGAGAAACCTATGTGGTCTCCACATGAATGCATTTAAAACTATGCTGTGCAGCCTGATTCTGGGTCTGTGACAAGGGCAGTTGGGGACTCTGGCTTCCTAATGCCCAACTGTACACATCCCAGGATGAAGCTTTGGGGATGAGGCACATGCAATTAGGCATCAGAGTGTTCCCCAGTGGAGGTAGTACCAGGTCCTGAGTCTAGGACCAGGGGTACTCTCTCACCTGATCTCTGGAAGTGGCCCTAGGTCCCAGTTCCCTGTGCACTAAAAGACATGCTGTTGCAATGTGGTATTGGTGAACCAGTTCCCCAAACACTGGGCTGCTCTGGCACTACCAGCATGGGGGAGCCTGGAATGGAAGATTGGGTATCCTGTCCTGGACACCCTGCTCTGCAGTTGGGTAACTGAAATCTGAGGAATGCCTGATCCCCCAAATAGTATGTCTTGCTATGTATATATGGCATGACAGGTTCCACAATTTCTGGGATCAGGCATATGTCCTCAGATCACAATTGCACAATCATTTTAACATCTTCCAGGATCATTTTAACATCTTCCTTTATGTAAAACACTGAGTTTACATGTTCAGAAACACTATCTAAAGTCTGTCTATATGTATATTTGCAAGTTTCTTCATGCACTTACCAGGTGTCCCCTGGGCTAGGTAGACATTACACTTTTACTGGTATAAGTAATTGGAAACCTGTCTATACCTATAACAGAACAGAAGTTTGGTGCACACAGACTGGTTTAAAAATAGCAGAACCTACTATAAGATTTGTCCTGTTCCCCCACCAAAGGGTGAATGTGTGTTCTGTTTGCTACTGATGTAAAGTACACTGCTTACAGAAAACCACGTAACTGAGAGTTTGCCTTAGGCTTTTTGAGTGTCTGTACCTAGCCCTAGACACTGTGAATGCCTTCACAGGGGATCAGATATGGGGTAAATATGAATGGAACAGGAATGTGGCTGTTCAATTGTGGATTGCAGCTCTGAGAAACAAACGCTAACTGCCGTGTCCGCACCCTTAAAGTGAGCCCCGACTGTGCCTAAGTCTTGGATACCACCAGATACAGTGACTAAGTCTTCTGGGAACAAACTGGTGTCAAAGCAATTGGTTTCAAAGTGTTGCATTTCATCACACTGTATTTGTGAAACCTGCTTTCAGCTATGTTCATTTACTCATTCTACACTTGATGTCAAGACCATGTACAAAGAACAACAGATGACTGGCCAAAACTGAGCTTGCCTCGTTTTTATGAAAAAGTCTGTTTCAGACAGAGTAGCAACATGACCTGACATCTATTGAACAAATCAGTTCACCCGAGTATTATAAACCATCCTCAGAAGTTGTTATGTTTGTTTACTTCTTTAAGTCATTATTAAGCCCTCAAATCAGAAGGGGTACAGCTCTCCAAGATCTGGGATGGTGGTATTTAGTTACTGTTTTTTTGAGTAAGCCAAAATTCCTTTTCTAACTGTAGCACCAGGCAATAAACCAGAAACAAAGGATTGATACTTTGAAAATAATTTTTACCTACTATTTTCATAAGACAGGTTTAGTTGGATTCACAGTACCTTTAATGACTCCTTTCCTTTCCTCACATATAAGAAATTATGGATCTCCAAAAGTCAGAGGTTTAAATAGAGTAATGGGGAAATTATTGGGAGAAAAAATCATTCAGTGAGTGAAAAAAGAGAAATAAATTGAAGAACAGGAAATGAAAGAAGGGGAAATAACTTAAAAGACTAAAATGGGAAGAGTGAGAAGAGTAGAAAAGCAAATGACTTAATGTTGAGTTTCTCTTTCAATTCACTTCATGTATTTATCTCGCCACAAATTTTGAAACGTCTCTCAGTTTGAAAAAACAAATGTTGCAAAAGATTTTTTCTGCCAGGGAAAAAAATCAAATTAAATCTCTGACATGTACATTCTTCTGTACACAGGCCACCATCCTTCAGTAATATATATGCTATAACTTTTCTTGGTTATGCTTGACAATGGAAAAAGAGAACAAGTCCTGATATGTAGTCAGCTTACAAATGAGTTCAGTTCTCTGCATGGATATTCAGTGCTGCTTGTTGAATAAATTCCTGTTCTCCATACATAAATTAGGCAATGGTAAAACATAACTGGCAAGATAGGGTCAGACTGAGCATTTTTTAAATTCAGTTTTAGGTCAGCTGAATTTCATTTCAAGGGGAGTAAACAGAAGCCAAAGGAAGATTTGAGTGGGGCAGGGATGCTTTTACAAACACTACCTGCAGGCAACCTAAGTCACCAGTTCTTAGGAGGACGGACATATGTTCTTGTAACTTTGAGCTATGCCACATGAGAGAATAACAATGGCTGATAGGATAGCCATACAACTCTCTGCCTTTTTTTATCTCTTTCAATGACTAGAAGATGGTAGGACTGAGAGATAATGTAGACCTCTATGGATGTAGAGGTAATTGTGGCCCACCTTTGGGAACTCTTTAGAAATAGAGAAAACAGAGAAACATAGGGAATAAGGCAATTCTCCAAAGCCATGGATGCTCTCATGGGTACTCTCAGTTCCTCTACATTCCCACGGTAGCACAGAATAACCACTGTGGGGGAAGTATTTGTTGTCAGAGCAAGAACCCTGTTACATGGTAAATTAAGGTGGCTTCTGGAGCTCTTAACCTGTTGATTGGCTGTACATTAACACCTTTGAATGGTTTAAAGCAGCCGTTATTCTGTTTAAAGTTATGCCACTCCAGGGCAAGATTACCTCTAGTTTGTCTAATTATGCTCCTGTTTCATCAAGGTGTGGCCACCTTCTACATCTGCTCCACCCAAGTGGAAGTCCTCCACCATCCCAGGATGATACAGTGTCTCCTCTTGATTCAGGGCAAGTGGGGACACCAGGGCTCAGCATGACTGAGCACAGCATCTCACCCCTTGGACACACTGGGCAGAGTGAGTGCTGCAGCCCTGGAGCACTCAGTGCCTGCAAGTACATCCTCCTGCCCCCTGAATCAGCTCGCTGCTCCCACTGGTGGCTGTGTGGGAGGAGTAAGCTCCAGAGGAAAAGAGGATCAGGTCCCTCAGAGCTCAGGCCCAATCCTTTGTTTCTCTGGGGTCCACTCCCCCATGCCACCAGTGGCTAGCTGGGTGCCACCTGAGCTCTGAGGGTCCCGATCCAATTTTTTCTGGAGCCTGCCCTCCCATGCCACCCTTATCTAGGCTGCTAGCCAGCTGGGTACCACCTGAGCTCTGAGGAGCCCAACCTTTATTTTCTTCAGTGCTCACCCTGCCCCCGCACCACCCCCTTCCAACAAACTACATGCAGACTTGCTGTTAGAGATACAAATGCAAATATGTAGGCTTCTAGTCCTGTCCCTGCTCACCAAGCCACCAGTGGTTAAGTCATAGCTGTTCAGGTGAAGGACAGTCAAAGATCTTTTTTTGCCTTAATGTGTGACTGCTCCACTAAACCAAATAACACTAAGCTGACTAACATTTGTGCAGCTTTCAGCATAAGGTGGAACAAGGCCTCACTCACAAAGAATGGTAAATAGAGGAACTTTGTAGTAAACAAAACTAAAAATATGGTAAATACAACAATATAGTATATAGCCAAGAAAGGTAAATGTCCACAGATATCTGTTTATTATTACTTTATTCTTAACCATATATTTTGTTTCTTTTAAGTAGGCTTTTGGGGCATGTACAGATGTTTGCTGCACCCAGGCTGCAGTCATGCAGCTTGCTTTAAGCCATGAGATCACAGAACGGAAGTGGCATGTGCAGATCTTTGCCAGTTCCCAAAGCCACGCTGGGAGCCTAGTGTTAGTAACTTATGATGGGAGGTGGAAGAGGCAGGATTGTGGGGACTAGTGGGTCCACAGGGGGATTGGTAGATCAGCTGGGGCAGGGGGGGTAGCAGGATGCAGGGCAGTTTGTCCATCCTGGGGTAGCGACATCCGGGGGCTAAAATTAGTCCAGTCAGATTCAGGGAGGTAGAAAGAGCACAGCTCTAGGGCTGGGGTGAGTGGCTGGGCTTTTCCAGCCCGAGGGCTATGCTCTGAACATATTCAACATATTGGGCTAACCCAGAGGTTCCCAAACTTTTGTTTATTATGTACCCACTTCCAGATCTGCCAGCTGCCCACTTACCTCTACCTGCATGTGTTATATATTTTAACTCCTTAAATGCCAATTATGATAATGAAAATTAAATCTGCCAATTATATAATTTCTCCCAGGTACCCCCAGAGATGTCTTGTGTATCCCCAGGGGTATGCATACCACAGTTTGGGAACACCTGGGTTCACCCATTCCCAATCTAAGGTAGTTCATCTGAGTTCACTAACTTAGATTGGGCTGGATATTTTTGCCCTCATTTAAAACCTCCAAGTGTTTACACACATGGGCATTTAGGACAACCTAACCCTACTTAAATTGATCTAAATGTAACATCTGCATGTACCCTTGGAGTCTATTATCCTTTTAGCGAATACACACACGATACCCAATGCTGTTAAATTGCCTTGCATAAAAAGTGATGTTACTACACAGGCCTTGCCCAGATACTTTCTAAAGGGCACATCCCTTTAATCCATGCTAATCTGTAGTAATCTACATTGATTTAAGTATATTAATTTTGACAGCCACCATGCAAGTGATTTTGAGGTCTATAAAACCAAAACAAAACAGAAAAACAAGCCTAAACCCTACTAAAACAACTGTAACAAAACAACTGAAACAAACCCCAAATTAGGGTTAGAGAATAAAGAAAATACAAATAAAAAGATGTAGCTGAAGTTTGCTAATTCATAAATGAAGGAAAGTTTAGATGCTCAAAGAGCAATGTCCTCAGTCTGAAAGTAGAGACTTACACCTTTGTGCTACATCTTGCTTCCATGACGATATACAAAGCAACCTTGGAGTTAATTCATCTATACCTGTAGCCACTTTTAAAGCTTTATTTTCTGTTACAGAAGCATCTGGTGAAGCTTTCAGTATGGCATTGTATGAGGCTGCAGACATTTTTTGATCAAAATGAATGTTTTCAAGATAGAAGTTCTTTCATATGAAAAGGGTTTTTTAAGCTAATCACATGCTACACATGTTTTAAAAGATTCTTCTCATAAATGAACCATCGCCTTCTTAATGTCCCTCATTGGTTTAGCTTTAATTTTTAGACGCTGTTTAGATTCAAGCACTAGCATTTGGTTGATGACAGTCCCTTTTAATGTTTTTTATCTCTTGTAAATTGAGATTTCCTACAGAAAATGGAGCTTTTGAAATTATTATACTTATTTCTCAGAATTATACCCAAGATATGTGATATCATGGTTCCAAAAGGCTTCTTAAAATGTTGGCACTTATTTTTTATTATGATATGACATTGTAACTAATCTTGTAACAGTTGTAAATGTACACATCATTTTTGTTTCTAGTAGTGAAAATCTCCATGTATATTTCTACTGGAAAACACTATTTCATGTAAATCACTATTAGTGTTTAGAAAAATGCCAGATTACCAGAAGTATGTGTGTGGTATGTTGGCCATTCCTACTCTTAAGCACATCCCTTATCTCTCCCTTAGCCAGCCACTAGAGGGCAGTATCACACATTCCTAAACATAAAATAAGTAAGTAATATGGCATTATGTCAAAGAATACATAAGCTAATACTTCCCTGCAATATACAACAGAAATTGCTACATAATAGAAGTCTACTTGCAATTTTAAAGGAAACCTTAGGCAATCCATGTGGACATCATATCATACAGCTCAATTTAGGACTGGGCTCTTGTCAAGCAGTAACACTTTGAATAATTTGGGGGATGCTAAGACCTTTTGCAACATTTTTGCCGATGCATACATTAACTAATAGTTATAGAAATAAGTAATTGCAAATGAGCCTACACTAAAATTCATCTAAGGAAATTGTACAGAATCACAAATAAAATGCTGAAAGCTTTCTTGGAACAGCTCCAATATTTTTTAGCATTGTCCTTGGTATGACAGACTTTTATAAGTACATCTAACATATTTGTGTCAGGCCAAAAAGCACATTGGATTGGATTGTGCTCCCAGTGATATATTGAGGGCATATAGTCTGATTCTGGAAAATGTGGACTTTAATTCTCCATAATCTAACTGGAAAGAGACCATTTCACTCATCTAACTAATTATGGGACATAGTTATTAGGTTAACTATCAGATGTTGATACAAATTTTCAGGAAGACACTAGAAAATAAAGTCCCATGCCTTCTCAGTGAATTGTAATTTAAAAAAAAAGTCTTGAATCTGTATTTTTAAACAAGAACATATTTTGGTTTTCCAAACATGCATATTAAGTCCTCATATCCTGCAAGACGCAAAAATATATATGTAAAATAATAACACTCAAAAATGTGTATTTTGATTGAATTTTTGTCAGGTCCAGAAAAAGCAAAAAATGTTTTGAAATTCACAAAAATATTATACAGGATCCTTTTTCTAGCACAACAGGCATGTCTACATGAGAGACTACTGTGCAGTAGCAACAAGCTAATGTGCAGTAGCATCAGGAAAAAAACATATGACGACGGTACTGCGCAGTAATACCAGTTCTGTGCAGTAACAACTGTGCATTCCTCCACTCATGTAGATGCTGCTACACTGCCATCTGGTATGGCTCATAAATTAAATTACATATTCAATAAAAAAGCTATATTGAAGGGTTTTTATACCCCTAAAATAATAACATCATTTCACTGAGTTACAAAAACTATGCAGTAAATATGTATTTTGTTGTGAAATATGAAGCCTTACCCTGAGCCTCTGGACTTGACAGCCCTGTTTTTCTGTCATTTTAAGAAAGTGACTGAACTTGGACTCATCAAGAAGAAGATATACAGCAATTCCTCTGGTAGATGCCTCAACAATTTCTCTAAATATATCCACATCTGTAAAAATATCCATAACTATGGCAATGGCCTGTAAGAAAAAGAAGAGAAAATATTACAATATTTATTTAGTGATAAAAAAATTAAATATTGTTTATATAGTGCAACTAATGAATTTGTAATCTTTCCATACAAAAAAAGCTCTAAATGTGTTTTTAAACATAGGATACTCTTTAAGACAATTTGATCCTAATTTGATAAAGGTACAGTAGGGGCCATGTGACCACTTGTCTGACATACTGGTGACATATTTTAAAAAGTGTGGAAAGGCTTTTTGTACATTAATAAAAATAAAGGCAAAATGAAAATAAACAGTAAAACCATTAGTCAAGTATTACTGTAGTTTGGCTGCAGAAAAAACCCCAAGAATTATGTTGTTTATGTATAAGGCACTAGCCAATCTTAATTTGAAATACTGTTCTAAGTATTGGCCACCTCCCCCTCCCCACAGTATTTTAAGAATCAACAAGGATGACTCTATGTTTCATCATATAGTTCATTTTGTACTCTTAACTCAGATGAAACTCCCACAATTCAGTGAGGGTTTGGCTGAATAAAGAAGGCTGAATCAGCCCACTGCTAGACTTGACTAACTAAAAAAATACAGATAAGTCTGAATAAGGAAATATAATGCCTAGCCTACAAGTCACTTATACATTATTGATAATTCCAGAATTAATACTGAAGTGCAGAAGAAGGGCAGAGAAAAAGAGAGTGCTTGAATATCTGTAAGAAAAACTTTTAATTTTGAAAAATATTTCATTCTCTTCAATTCCTCTCTCTCTCTTTCTACATATATAGATTTATAAAGCTGTAAGATTGCACACTGGGTACAATGAACATCTGCACGTGGTGGGTTTTGGCACTACACGTGATTTACCATTGTCATTAACTTTATTGAACCATCTGCAGTTTTGGTTTTTATTGTTATAATTATTATACTATATTGGAACTGCTAATCTCATCCCAAAACCAAGAACTAAGCCATTTAGCTCATTCATAAAATAAAGGGACCTTATCATACATGCCTGCTCCAAAATCAATTGCATCTCCAGTCAGCCACCCCAGTTACCTTGAAGAGCCCTGCTTTTTAAACTAAAAGAATCTCTCATATAAAATACTTAGGTATAAACATTAAATGGTTAGTGAAAACTAAATCATTAAGAAAAATGAGGGGACCGTTAACAATCATGTCTTTTGGGAGGTCAGATGATACAAACAAAGAGCTTTAGTGCAAGTTCTCAGCATTTGAAACATTCCTTGTATAAATAGGGTGAAAAACAGTTAATTAGGTAGGAATCGTAGAACCTTTTCATGTACCTGTGAAATGAATTGTAGTGACAATTTTTTTTTTATTAATGCTCACTTGTTAACAGTAAGAAGTATTTTGTTGCTCAAGTTTTAAAGAAGATGCTAAATACAATTTGAATCTTACATCTAGTGTCTTGTTCATTTGGGAGTTTTCTTTTGGTTGACTGGTGGATTGAGATGGGGTTTTTTTTCTTCTTCTTTTTAGAGGGTTGAGGGGGAGCCCAGAGATATTTTTGGTTTAGGTTTTGGGTTTGTTTTTTCGGGTTTTTTATTGCTGTTCTTGCTTGGCCTCATTTCTAAGGTAGGCAGAACTGAATAAGCAGGGTTGCCATATTCAAGTTATCTGTCTGGTTTCACTAGCATCTGAAAAGACAGCTGCCAAGACTGGCTGGGCCTGTTGGGTGAAAAGATTAAAGGAAAACAGCTGATCTCAAACAACCCTGTTGTTTCAATATGGAACTAAGCCCTTTCTATGTCTCTTAGAAGTAGATTCTCATTTGATTTCAGACATTTGTTTGAAATAAAAGAGCTGTATAATGAATGGATTCATCAGTACACATTGAATCAACTATATTATATATTCAAAACCATCATCACATCCTTCAGAAATCACTCTCATCCACTTGTATGCAGTATCTTTGGTTACTGCAACCCAAATGATGAAGAGATTTAAATTGGAAGCTAGTTTTAAAAATATTGCTTTAACCATGTTTTCATAAATGCAGAAACAAAATTGCAGTATAACAAAAGTGGTGATGTGTGTATGTTTACCCTTTTTTTGTAAATATCCCAAATATTTTTTCTAAATTCCTAGAGATCAGCAGCATATTGAGTCCTTTCCTCCTCCCTAATATAACTATTTTAAAATACTTTTGTTAACTTTCACAGTGAATTTATCCACTTGACAAGCTACACTTTTTCAAGGAATGGGAAATCCTAGTTGAAGATTTTCCACATGTGCTCTTTTTTGGTAGTGCCTGTGGGTAGCCTAACACTTCTGACCGCTGAAAACTCAAATATCTTTAGTTTTAAGAATAGTAAAGATTGTTGTGGAGCTCTCTATCTTACAACCTTGGGCATATCCCTTTCTTCCATTCCTGCATGGCCATAAGAGGGCAACTCTTACCATACTCTCCATCTGACCTGTGCATGCCTGTCCATAGATCATTAATCTTGCAGACAAAGCACATTTAGAAGTGGAATCTTGCCAAATTCAAACAATTAGCAAATTATCCATTTTTAATGATGAACTAACCAACCCTTAGAACATCCAGGATTATGATGTTTTCCCTATGACTTGAAATCTTTAAATCAAGGTTGCGTGATTTTCTTAGTAGCTGAAAATCTATGGATGTGGGATGCAGACGTTGAACTGAATGACAGTAATCATCTCTTCTGATCTTAATATTTATCAATCTTCCTTGCGTTTCTGTTTCTTTGTCCATATTTTTCTGCTCCTTTGCACAGTGGAAGGGAGTATGTTGTCCAAAGAAATAAGAAGGTAAAGAGTACTTCTGCCTCAGTTTGATAATATAACTGGAGATCTACTTATTTTTTTCTGAGACAAGAGAAACATTGTGGGCCACTCGCAGTGCATGGCACCATTTTCACAGTCTTTTTCCAGTGGCCTCCAGCTGCTAATTGGTCCCAGTGGCCCTGCCCCTCACCACTGGTTGGCCAAGAGGGCTTCCCATGGTTTGACCCCACCTCTTGTTGCTGACTGGCAGAGCAGGCTGGGGCCGCAAGAAAGGCAGCACTCCGGGGCAATCAGCAGTGAGGGATGGGGGCTGGCTCTTATCTTTGTTGTTCCCCTTCTTGCCAACATCTCCCTTTCCCCTCCCCAACCCCAGCAGGCTGCTGGGCCAGGCTGCAGCATCCCCAGGGACCACTGGCTCCCACTGGGAAGCCAGCATTTTATTTTTAGTCTTTTTTTTTTCCTGGCAATTCTATGCCAAAATTGTGGGAATTGCCATTTTCTCAGGGTTTGCGGAAACTTCTTTTTTCATGGTTTCCATGAAAAACACAAAATTATAAATAGGGAAGATTTTTATATATAACTAAAAAGATTGAGATTACTCTTCTAACAATGAGCATTAAATACATACATTTAATTAAATGTATGTATTTGTTTAAAGCTTGAATTGATAACATTTGCAGCTTCATTTACATACTACATCAATTGGGAATAGGTTTCATTATTGTGTTTTAGATGGTTTCTAAACCATCTGTAGAAATGACCCTTATATTGATAAGTGTAGCAAGCAGCCAACGTAACAATGAGATCTAATAAAGGAGTGGGCAGATAAAGAACTATTATTATTTCACACTGCATACAGAAACTCATAAAATTGCTTGTTGCATAAATTCAGTTCTTTTGGTCTCACTGAGCGCATCTACATGAGACACTTTACATGAGATTAGAGCTAATTATTATGTGGTAAGCATCAACATCTACACATGCAGACACTTACTGTGCAGTAATTTGCTCTAATCATGAGTAAATTTGCTGCCTGTAAATACAAGTATCAAATTTACTCCTGATTACTTACTGCACAGTAGCGCATGTATAGATGGCTAACCAGGAGCAAGAATCTCTCAGCGTGGCTACCGTGATGGCAGAATTTGTGATAGGTATGCATGTGCCTAGGCTAGTCTGAATGTGTATGTGCCTGAGTTGGTAGTGTGCGTGTATGTACCTAATTGATTTGTGTGTTTGTATATGTGCAGTTGTGTCACACTCACCTGTCTAACAGTGCAATATTACGATCCTGAAAGTTGGCTTGACCCCACAGGGCAACACAGGGAGTTCCTGGTCCTGGCTCCCCCTAGCTGTCCCACCAGTGGACTGGGGCAAGGGGCTGGCAGCTACCCCACCCCTGCAGCTCTTTCTGACTGGGAGCAGAGTTGCTCTTGGTCAGGTGTCTACATGAGCGCTACTGTGTAGTAAGTAATCAAAACTAAATTTTCTACTTGATTTTGCAGGTAGAAAATTTACTCACGATTAGTGAGGTTTACTACACAGTAAGCATGTGCATGTGTAGATGCACACACTTACTACATAGTAAACTGCATTACTGCACAGTAAAGCATCTCATGTAGACACATCCTTTGTGTACTACTCAGATTATCTGCTACCTTTACCTATAATTTTTCTTTGTTCTTTAAGGAAATAAGAAGTCTGGCCTAAAAGAGTTGTACTGCTTTGTAAAATGTATTCACATCTTACAGTAAATACTGAATCATTAAATGGTAGTTTCCAGCCAAATACTGCCAAATTCAAGCCTCCAGGAGAAATCTTTACGTGCCCTATCAAAATTATCACCCCATAGCAATCACAAGTAACCTTAAACTGAAAATGCCTCATAATTTTTCACTGCCAGAGGTGGAAGGTAATTGACAAGGCAGGAAAAACTGCCCTTGCAAAAAAAGGAAAAGTGAACTAGTCTGATTAAATTAACATTACATAGAGCAACTAATTTCAGTGACATGTCTAAAGCAGATGCTATATTAAATATAGTCTTTACAGTTATTTTCTCACTTAATGTTCAGTAAATGCCCACTTCCAAACTTAACATTATAGGCTTTTGTGGGTTTTTTTTTTTACTAATTTGATTAATTTGGTGATCTAAATTCTGATCTAAGTTATTTTCTCTAACCATGTAACCCAATGAAGTATTTAGGCTCAAAACTGTTTTCACTTTAATCAACAGTTTTTTGTTT